GGGCCGGTGCCCTCGTCGCAGCGAGTGCCACGACAAGGTGGGAACAACACGTGCTCCTACTCTGCTGGTTCATACCGTCATCGAAAATGAGGGTGGAAGGGATGTCAGGGGGTCACATCTAGTCAATCCCCTGCTCCAAGCAGGACCAGCCCCAACTGCATCAACCCAGACAAGGCTTTGTCCACCCGGGTCTTCAAAACCTCCAAGGATGGAGACGCCACCACCTCTCTAGATAGCCTGCTCCAGTGCTTCACCGCCCTCCTACTGAGAGTTTTTTCCCCTAATATCCAACCTCAACTTCCCTTGCTGCAGCCTGAGCCCATTGCCCCTTGTCCTGCCATCTGCCCCCACGGAGAACAGCCCAGCTCCATCCTCTTTGCAGCCCCCCTGCAGGGAGGTGAAGCTGCTATTCAATCCCCCTCGGTCTCCTCTTCTGCAGACTACATCAGCCCAGTTCCCTCTCACAAGTCCTGTTTGCCAGGCTGTGCAGCTCTCGGCCCCGAGGACTTTAGGAAGGGCAGATTAACCCCACAGCTTTCATCCCCCCTCCAGTCCATTTGGAGCAAGAAGGGACTTTGCAGCGGGGATGGCTGGCAAATAAGGCAAGATTCAGGTGATGCTCTCCAAGTCTTGGATCTTTTTTTGTCGTCTCTCATACCACTAGCCAGGCCTTTCCCCTCCTGTCTGGTTAACGCAGTACGGTACAACCGTACGGCACGGCGCCGGGCTACAGTTGCACACACAATTCCCAGATGCAAACGTGGGGTGTTGGATTGAGCAGCAAGGGATGGGTTTGAGCGGTGACCTCCATCCCCCTCACAGCCCATCTTCCCCGCCTAGGGCTCAAAGTCGCCATGCGCCGTCGGACGTGGGTGCAAGCGTGACTGGTTGTTCAGCGCCATCTCCCGCTGTTCCCCCCTCGGTCTGGGGGGCACGTCTGTATGCAAAAAAAATAAAAATCAGGATTTAGCACTGAAAGGGCAGAACTGATTCTCAGCACAGAGAAATGCCTCTTTTTGGGCGGGCTCATCTCTGGACCCCTCTGGGAAAAGAGGGGAAACGGGTCTCTCCAGCAGGGAAAGGGGCGCAGCTGAGCAGAGAAGAAGGCTGCCTTCGTTATGTATTTATTTGCAGTAATTTCTGGGCTTTTTCTTGCTAACAGATGACAAGCTGTCTCCCCTGAGCGGTGCCAGGATCTCTGCCGATACCGCCTCTCGCCTGAACTTAACGCCGCCTTCCAAAGCGTAATGACAAATTAGCACACTTTTCTCTGATGGGATGTGTAGGCAGGAAAGCGCGTTGTAAATACAATTGATTTTCATTTCCCCCGTAGCGTCACTGGAAGCCTGATATTCAGGCCTGCGTAGGCTGCCCAAGAACACCGTGCTTGTGTTGCCATCGGTGCGTTACAGACATCGGTACTTACTGAACAGGTGGAGACGCTCGTATGCGGTACATTTCTGGTACTTCTCTTGTAAATCCGCTATAACAGTTTCCTCTAAATTGCCGTGTCCCCGTTCGCTGCGCTTCCACGGGAGAGCGACGTGGCTAATGGGGCTCGTTCCATTGTGTTCGAAGGATGTACCGTCTAATGCCTCATTCAAAGCCTTCGTAATTGCAGAACGAGCGCTCAAACTTCAGAAGCAAAGAGTTCAAAGGCATTCAGATCGGGGAGCGGTGTAAACAATGGATAAACTCCGGGGATGGCGCTCACCTGTGATAGCAACCCCGCGCTGTCCCTTCATCTCACAGTTCACATCAGAAAGCCCCTTTGTTCCTTTTCACTCTGGCCTGACATTAATTACCGGGAGTTTAAATGCAGACAATCAAGTCAGATTTAAAAATAACCACCGTGCATTTTGTTGCAAGCTCCTTTCATGTGAAATGTGCAAGGGGAGGTGGGGTTTCTCCAGCTTGGCATGGAGGCTCTTTGGTGAAACCTGGGCAGCCGGCAATGCTGCCCGATGGGATGGTCCTGGCCGGGCTGTTGCATTGCCCACCTTGCTCCCGTCTCGCAGCCCTGCTGGGCAGCCTGGGGGGGTCCATGTGCCGGGCATACGGACGGGAAGTGCCCAGTATGGGTGCTTGCCTTCCCCTTCGGGGCTAGCTGCTCACACACAGCTCAGCACTGACTTTACTGGCACAAATGTTGCAGGGAAGTCAAGGTCAGCGTGGCACGCCAGAATCCAGCAACCGCGAGGTGCCTCCCTTGGGGATGCAGGTGCCAAGCCCCCTCCTGAGACCTGCAATTAGCAGTGCCCCTTGGTCCCCACCACGGCTTCAACTCCCCCTCCCCCTCCCCCTGAGCTCCCGGGCTGGGGTCAGGGCAGCAAGGGCTTGGCATCAGAGCCCAAAACACCACGTCCTCCTCCGGCTGGCTTTCAGCAACGCTTCGTTGCACATTGATGCTCGAGGGCCAAGCAGGCCAGAGTCGGAGGGAGCTTTCCCAGCAAAGGCATATATGAAAGGAAAGGTTATGAATCCCCAGTTTCCAGGGGATTTTGCTTGATTTCCCCTTTATGGCTGTTGCGGTGGGACTGGCTGTCGTACCCCGAGGGCTGCGGCACAGTCGGATACACCGGTCCCAAATCCATCTGCATTTCACGCAGCGAATCTCCACTGCTAGGGCCGGGCGGTGGTTGCTCTGATTCATCTTCCCTGCTTGAGTTCTCCCTTGCCCCCGCGCAGACGATCCTTGGGCGCGTGAAGCAAAGCCACGCTTTGCCGTCACGGGGCCTTCCGGGCTCAGCTGAACTGGACTGCTGTGTCCCCTGGGCATGCTCCTTCCACGCGCCAGGGGCCGGGGCTGTGCACCTAATCTCTTGCAAGCAAACACAGTGCCAAGTGCATGTGGGGCGTCCAGCCAGTGACTGCTGTCTGGGCCCTGATTTAATGTGGTTGGCGTAGGGCATCACTCCATGCCCAGGCTTCCCAATGCCTCTCGTTCCCCCGTCTCTTGCAGATGCCAGGCTGTTCCCCTCCAACTCATACCCGTTCCCCTCCGAGGAGCTCGCCAACGGCACGGATGGGGAGCCCGGACCGGCCATGGCTCAGAACCGTGTCCCGTTAGGCGGGGACTTGGATGTAGCGCTCGAGGAGGCAACGCCATCGGCGCAGAGGGACGGCGTGCCCGAGCCCACGCTTGCCCCCAGTGCCGGCTCAAAGCAGCCCTTCCCTCCCAAGAAGAAGCCGCCGTCAGCAGAGCAAGGAAACACAGTGAGGAAGCACCTGAGGCCCAAAACGACCCCGCCGGGCATTCAGAAAGTTGCTTCTCCACCCACCCTCCCAGGCCTGGGGACCTTCACCTCTACCGAAGAGCCACGTGCCCTGGGGGAGGTGGTTACCGTGGCCTCTGGGGCCAAGCAGGACACACCTGAGCCGCCCCCGTGGGATGCAAGACAGGCAGGCGGTGGCACCACCAGTCCGTCCCCGCTGCAGATTTCTCCTTTCACCCCACAGCCCTCGGTGCCTCAGACCGGTCCTCCGAGCCCCGAGGCAGGAGCGCCGGCTGCGGCTGGCAGTCACGGTGCTCCCTTCGACGCTGCCGCCACCCAGACCAACAGCGTGGAGAGCGAGGCCAATGGGTCCGCCGCCGAGGAAAGTCAGGAGACCACCACGTCCACCATCGTCACCACCACGGTCATCACCACCGAGCCCACGCCAGGTAGGTCCCTGGGGAGGGATTTAGAGAGAGACGTCGGGCGCTTGCACGAGAAACCCAGAGTCTTGCTTCCCCGAACACGGGACGGACTGAATGGCAGGAACGTGTTTTTTGGCCAACTCTTGGCCTGTTTTGCAGGGTCGTGGTCTGGTCCCTCCTCCACACCCAGTTGTGTGTCCTAGCCCCTGCATTTGCTGTCCATCCCCAGGGAGGGAAGGAACTGGCCTCGGCTTTTATGCATGCTTTCCCACGTGCGTTTGCAGTGGGTGGCATCCCCTCTTGGTTCGGCAACCTGGCTACGCCGAGGTGCTCAGTGGTTTTTGACAAGTCCTAGATGTGGAAGCTTTGCCATGGCCCGTAACGATGGTTTTGCACCCGCGTTGTCCCGTGTTGAGGAAGGGGGCAGGCAGGGGTGGAGGCATCAGGAGGATGCAGAGGGCATGTCCAGGGCATTTGAAAGGGACCTTGCTCCTTCCAGCAGGTCTGGCAGAGGGTGCCCTGGATGGAACAAGGCCCGGGGGCAGGCACCGTGACCGTGTGGGTGGATTGGCTCCGGGCTTTCACGCTGTCTCAATGTCTGTGGCACCGGCAGAAACCTGCCGGGCTTGGGGGAAAGCAAACACTGCAGGAATAACATGCCTCGAGCTGCCTTTTCCCTGCAGCTCGGCTTGGTGACATGCATGCATTTGCCTACAGTTCTCTGCAGCGTGAGCTTTTACGCCCCGGAGGGGTACATCGACTCCGGCGACTACCCCCCGCTGCCGCAGCACAGCTACCTGGAGTGCACCTACAACGTGACCGTCTACACGGGCTATGGTGTCGAGCTCCAGGTAAGGGTGTCCGCCGGGAGGGGTGTGCAACAGAGCCACGCTGACGGCAGCCGGGGAGGGCCCATCGCTAGTGATGGTGGGGGGCTCGGGCCCATTGGGGACGGGGGTTTCGGCCCATGCGGGGAGACAACCGGGGGCAGGAATGACTGATGGAGGCGCTGGGGGCCGTCTTCACCCAGCCTCGCGGCACCGACCGGGGGCGTCTCGGGGATGAGTCAGGCGGCACGGCACAGGCCCGATGAAATGATTAATGGCCTTCCTGCTGCTCCCTCTTGTTTTGGCAGGCAGCAATTTCGAATCCCTTCCACCCTGTTTTAATTATTTTCCATGTGCAAACGCGCTCGGCTTCGCTGGCTACACAGCTCATTACGGGTGGCAGGTGTTGAAATAAGGCCAGGCAACTTTTCACGGCAGCCGGGCGATAACTCTGGGTGACGTGGGGAATTGGCTCCTCTTGATGCCAGGCTGATTTAGTCCTTCCGAAGCAGGGCGGGTGGGGAGACGTCTCCCCGCTCACACCTGGGCATGGAAATGCAGCAGGAGGCAAGGAGGCGACAGCAAACCCAGAGCTGAACTGGCCCGAAAGCGAATAACCCGATAACTTTGCAGAGAAACGGAGGAAGGCCCCAAAGAGCGAAGCCTCGTGGCCTTGCTGAAGGGAAGCAGGGATGGGCGGACAGAGAGGAGCACGGAGGGGAAGAGACAACTGATGCCGAACTCAGGGGTACCCCGGTCCTAGTCGGGGTATTGCACCCTGCGAGGAGCTGCACCGTTCACCGTCTTGGCGAAGGACCCGCTGCTCGATGGTGATGCTTGGTCCCTGTGCAAGGGCTTTTCATGCCCGCGGCGAAGCCAGCCTGGTGGGTGGGCTGGGAGGATCCCTCCTGCCTCCACCAGACACGTGCGGCGCTGACGTGAGCTCAGCCTGGGAGGAAAGCGAGAACTTTTCCTCCGCAGGAAGCTGCCCATATGGTCCCCTTCGTGGTGGCTCATCCCCCCTGGCACAAGCCCATAGCGTGAGCCAGCGGCTGACAGTCCTCCCGGCAGCAGGAGGGAAAGATGACGGTACCGGGCCATCCTCCTGCCTCCCAGGGATGAAGGGGGAGCCGTCTCGTGGAGAAAAGGCCCGCTCCAGCTCCTTCTCTCGGGGAGGTTTCCTCCAGACCAAAGGCGCAGGGCTGCGACCGAGTCCCTCCTTCACAACTGGGCCCCGGGAGCGAGGAGAGCAGGTGCAGAGCAGAGCTGCCAGCTGAAAATCCCTGCCCTTATTTTGACTCAAATCATAAAGGGTCATTGAATCACAGGGCTGTGGAGCTGGCAGGGAGCTCCAGGGGTCACAAGCCCCTGTCTGGGGCAGGATGAGCCCTGTGCAAACCAGCCCAGACACATCGGGCATCAAACCGCTTAGCAAAACGACAGTCATTCCAATGCAGCACCAAGCATCGCACCCGACCCTGCCCCAGGGAAAGCAGGGGGATCGCGGCCGCCAACGTCCTGCCGTGCAAAGGGTGATGATATATGCTCCAGAGGTCCCGGCTACAGAGGAAGGCAAAAATATCCCTTCTGTCTAATTTGCTGGTGCACTTTGGGAGCCAGGCAGTGCCTCGCAAACCCGCTGTGGAGGGCTGGGATCAGCCCAGAGGAAAGTGCACGGCTGACCTCAGTGCACATGGGCTCAAATGTCCTTCCTTTTGCTTTCCTCCGTGCTGGGCCAGATGGGCAGCAGGGCCTGGACTCCCTGACCTCCCAAAAGCGGTGCCGTCCTGTGACTCTCAGGACGGCCGAGCCGATCTGGCTGTCTCTGGAAGGGGAGCCGCGTGGAGCAGAGTGCTGTATCCGCTCGTCGTACCCTCCTGTCCAGAGACGCCGTCAAGACCCAACAGCTCCAGAATACCTCGGCCGTAGAGGAGACCCGTCTATTTGGGATGCTCAAGCAAAGGGCAAGGCGCAGAGAGGAGCCTGGACTGCCCCCAGCGCTCGGCTCTCGGTGTCGGGAGGTCAGTGGGGTAGCATGCACTAGCCCCATCTTAGTGGAGTTTGACACAAGGGTTTGGCTCTGATGGCTGCCGTGGCATCACCTGGATCAGGCCCTGCTGTCTTCCCACATCATCGAGTGCCCAGGGAAAAATGCATTGACCTCAAGCTGGGGCTTGAACCACCAAGGGAGATTTGCAAAGGCAGAGGTGGGCTGCCCGTGCCCACGACCCATTGGAAGGTGGTGGGAGCCGGGCCTCTGTGCAAAGCTCCCCCCCCGGTCGGCCAGAGAGGAAAAAGGGGTCCTGCCCAGTGGGCAAAACAGAGCGAGATCCAGTACTCAGTGTGAACACCAGCAATACTCAACCGGGGCGCCATGGCCTCTTCGGGGGACCTTGACATCCTTCCAAGGGTGCCGCGGGGCGCCATGCAACATTGGCACTGATTCATGAGAGAAACCCAGTGACCTCACTCGGGGAGGCATCGTGTTAGAAACCTTTTGCCCTGCTGCATTGTTTCTGGCTTCTTAGCCACGGAAAACGTGCTCTGTTATTTGCCTGCAGGCCAAAAACAAGTCAAGACCGAGCGCTGGCATTTTCCAAGGGCTGCCTCCGGTCCCTCGCATCTCAAAAGGCTGAGAATCGGGAAGGCTGCGAATCGGGAAGGCTGCGTAGCGGCAGCGAGGTGCACCATTGCCCTCTCCTGGCTAGGATTCGCGTGCACGCTCCTTCCAGGACCCTGGAAGCTACGTCCGTGCTAATTGCAGAATTTGGTTTCTTTCTGATGTGGAGTTAAACAGAGACCCAACGAGGAGCGGGGAGCAAGGGCCGCCTCCAGGACAGGATGCCCTAACCGTGTCCTCATTGAGTTATTTCCACCTTCCCAACACATCCCTTCTGGACCTGGAAACACCCTCCTGGCCCAATGCCATGCTCCTTCCCCCAGAACGGAGCAGGCTGGCGGCATCTGCTTGGGAGGGAGCAAGGAAAGGTTGGGGACCACCGAGCTCCTGGCCAGGGGTTGGGTCTGCTCTGCCCATTTGCTGGTGCTGGGCCAGGACCGTCTGGGTGAGAACGAGCGGAGCGAGTTTGGTGACACTCTTCCAGGCATGGCATCAGCAATTAGGGGCTAATCCCCGGGGCTGTGATGAATAAATACTCCCCCAGAGGAGACGACTGGTGTCTGATGAGCGGCTTGTCGCTGAAACGCCAAGCTGCTGCAAAGTGGCAAGGGTGCGGGAGCCACTTGGTGACTGTATTAGTAGTTCATAGTTGCAATGAAAACTCGTTAGGGCTGCTCCGTGGGCGGCTCTGCAGCCTGGGGTATCTGCAGGCGGGTGCCGCGGGCAGGGGGCTCACGGTGAGCAGCTAAATTACTTGGTTTTCTCCCCATTTCTCTGCACTGTGACTCATTTCGGGGCCTGTTGCTCTGCCTGGGGACCCGACCCCAGCCCCAACCTGCAGAGCAGAGACCTGGGAGTGTGGTGCTGCTACCGGCTCAGCTCGCCTCCCAGGGCCTCAGTGTTCCCAGCTGTCAAATGGGGAGAATGTGCCCCAGGTCAGCTCACGGGTGCTGCCTGTGTGCCCCGCACAGGTGAAGAGCGTGAACCTGTCTGAGGGTGAGGTGCTCTCCATCCGCGGCGTGGACGATGACACCTTGGTGGTCCTGGCTAACCAGACGCTGCTGGTGGAGGGCCAGGTGATCCGCAGCCCCACCAACACCATCTCCGTCTACTTCCGCACCTTCCAGGACGACGTGATCGGGACCTTCCAGCTCCACTACCAGGGTACGTGCATGACCCCCCATCCCCTTCCCCCACCGTGAAGCACTCCGGTTTCACTCCGGTTTCACTGGGTGTCCTCCTGTGCCTTAGGGCTGCTCCGACTTCTGCTGCTGCCCGTGGGAGATTCAGGCCCGAGGCACCAGAGCCATTAGCCTGTGCCCATCTCTGCCCCTTTCTATCCAGGCGTGGGGGGTCCGTGCCGATGCATAGAGGTTTTGCCTCCTCTCCAGGCCTCATCCTGTGCCTTGTCATTCACTCTGTGTGTTTGTGTGTTGTGTTGTGTGCGTGCCGTGCCATGCGCTGGCTGCAGTGTTCATGCTGAGCTGCAACTTCCCACGGAGACCTGACTTCGGGGACGTCACGGTCATGGACTTGCACTCGGGCGGCGTCACTCACTTCCACTGTCACCTGGGGTACGAGCTGCAGGGTCCCCGCGTGCTCACCTGCATCAATGCCTCCCGACCCCACTGGAACAGCCCGGAGCCCATCTGCTCAGGTACGGCGAGCACCGGCCCGAGCCGCCCCCGTGGCATGCATCTGGGGAGGGCACGAATTGCGTTGTAGGCAGAACCTGACCAGAACTAGGCAGGTAGGAAAACTAAAACAGCTGTTTAAAAGACAGAGAGAGGGAAAATCTCAGCTCCCGAGCTGCTGGCGTGGCTCCTGAGAATGGCCACAGGTGCCCGTCGCACCAGGATCGGGGCCCTGGGAGCTCTCGGTGGGTCCTTGCACACGTTATGCGTGCTGCGGATAAAAAGCCCACAGCCAAGGTCTGCCGCAGGCAGCAAAACAGGCAAGCGCAGAGGAGGTGCTGGGGACTTGGACGCGGAGGCATCTTAACTTTTTGCATAACAGGCTTCGTGTGCGTGAGTCCGCGTGCACAGGTGGGGGGTTGCCTTTGGACGGGAACCCGGGCAGGCGAGTGCCAGCCCCAAAGCAAGTGTTTCAGAGCAGTCTGAGCCCGTGAGACCCACCTCCCCCCTTGAGAGGCGAGCAAAAGGGACCCGAGATCTTGGGGAGAAACCAGTGGAGCATCCCCTGAGCCAGGGGCTGTGCGGGGCTGCAGCTTGTGCGCTCCATCCCTCCAGGAAACCAGGCCACCAAGCCAGGTGGGATCTCCCTGCTTCGGGGATCCATCCCCAGGGCCCTAGGCAGAGCCTCGGTCTCTGTGAAGGCAATGCAGCCCCTGCTGTCTGCAGCCCTAGGGCTGGAGCAGAATCCGGCCCCGAGCTGGCAGCCCCTTTTCTGGGCAGGGAGTGGGAGCTGCATTGCCCCAGGCTCACTCCCCGCTGCCCCGTGTTCGCAGCACCCTGCGGGGGCACGGTGCACAACGCCACCATCGGCCGCGTCCTGTCGCCCAGCTACACGGGGAACCACAGCACCGGCATGTACTGCGTGTGGACCATCGCCGCGCCTCCCGGCCAGAAGCTGCACCTGCACTTCGAGAAGCTGCTGCTGAGCGACAAGGACAGGTGAGGCCGGCGGGGTTTCGCTGGGCCTTTGCGAGACAGGGAAATCTCTCCCTTCCCTGCGAGGGCTCCCAGGAGACAGAGCACTTCCCGGGGGGGGGAGCCAGGAGGTGGGAGGGAGGGTGTTGCACATGCAGGGGGTCATTAAACCCGGTGCTTTAATGGGCCCCAAGGGGTGTCAGGGTCGCAACTGCATAGAATCACAGTGGGGCTGGAAGGGAGCTGCAGGAGCTGAGGCAGGATCAGCCCCGTCCACACCAGCCCAGACAAACCCCGGGACAGGGGTCGGGGCAGCTGGAGCCCAGCCCGTGCACCTGCACAGGACCGGGCTGCATTGCCCCTGCCACATCCCAGCGTGGGACTCAGCCCCAGGCTGCCCGCAGCCCCGCTCCCCTCCTAACCGGCCGCATCCTCCTGCCGCAGGATGGTGGTGTACAGCGGGGACACGAACCAGTCGGCCGTGCTCTACGACTCGCTGCAGACCGAAAGCGTCCCCTTCGAGGGCGTGATCAGCGAGGGCGCCGTCATCCGCATCGACTTCCTCGGGGGCGAGCCGGCCGGCGTCACCGCCTTCAACATTCGCTTTGAAGGTGATGCTTTTGGCTTTGGAGCTGGCGGCTGGGGGCTGCTGGCAGAGGGAGACGTGGCCAGGGCGCCCATCTTAACCACCCCGCTGCCCTCCTGCATTTCCCAGGGGTTTTCATCCTGCAAAGGCTGCTGCCATTTAATAGCAAGCAATAACCATTGCACCCCTCTCCCTCACCCGGGTGCTATTTAAACCCCACCTGCCTAAGACCTAATCACCGGTGCCCAGAGCTAGCAGTGGTCGTGCACATTGGAAAAGTCATAGCATTGCACTGCGTTTGGAGTGCCTGCTCTGCCCGTAAGTCATGCCAGTGATCCTGGGATCAGGACCGCGCTGGTCCTGGGACCGTGCTGCCCGGACTCGGCGGGAGCTATGCTGCTTTGCAGCAGCCACAGGCTCTTGGTATCATCAGCTGGGGAGTGCTAGCAGCACCAGCCCATCTGAGTCTGCTGACAGCAGGTCTCCCTCCATCTCCACAGAGATAACAGCCTACTCACGCTGCCAGCTAAGGGCACTGAAGCCATGCGTGGATCTCAAATTTGAGAAGAGGGGTGCAGATGCTGGGGTGCACTGTCGCCTATAGCACAGCACACGTTTTTCTCCAGTTAAAAAGAAACTAGGAGCTGCACTGCTATGCCAGGGGCCTAGGATGCACTCTTCCATTTGAGATGGAAGCCAAAACAAATAAAACATCATGGGAATGGGTTAAAAAGTCTGCAGGGCTGTGACCAGGAGCAGCCCCCAGACAGCCGCACGGCAGCACAAAGGCTCGTGGGGCTGCTGGGGCGTGCAGAGCATTACAAAGGAGAGAGGGTCGTTAACGCCTCTGCAATGAAGAGTTTAGGAGGAATCAGGTCCATGGTAGTGAACTATGAAGTCAAGTGACTTCCTTGCTAGAAATGCTGCTGCCACGACCAGGCAGATGGTTTTAAATTGTGGGTAGAGCAAGGCGCACCCACCAGATTTGCCCCTGGCTGGCGGCCCCGGATCCATCGCCGCTGGGGTAGCACAGGAGCTGGCAGGAGGTGGGGGTCCTCCGGCACCAGCCCGGCTAACGCGGCATCTCCCTGCAGCGTTTGAGCGGGGCCATTGCTACGAGCCCTACATCCAGAACGGGAACTTCACCACCTCAGACCCCACCTACAACCTGGGCACCACCGTGGAGTTCACCTGCGACCCCGGCCACTCGCTGGAGCAGGGGCCGGCCGTCATCGAGTGCGTCAACGTCCGCGACCCGTACTGGAACGACACCGAGCCGGTGTGCCGAGGTCAGTCCTGGTCCCAGCCTGGGGAATAGGGCACGGGACTTAGGGATATGGCTTCTGAATCGGGCTGTGCTGGGCTGGGGGGAGCATGGTCTTGGCAGGGACTGCAGGCTAAGCCCGTGTGTCTGTGCCCCTTGCCATTGCAGCCACGTGCGGCGGGGAGCTCACGGCCGTAGCAGGTGTCATCCTATCCCCCAACTGGCCGGAGCCCTACGTGGAGGGGGAGGACTGTGTCTGGAGGGTCCGTGTCGGGGAGGAGAAGCGGCTCTTCCTGGACATCCAGCTGTGAGTGCTGCCTGGGTCATTGCCCTTTGCTGTGCCCAGGCCCTGGGGTCAGGCCGTGGCGGTGGGCTGGACCCCGTGCGAGGGGCAGAGCTGCTGTTGCAAGGGGTCTGGGCAGACGCAGCACCGTGGCAGCCGGGGACCTCCTGGTCTCTCGATGCTCAGTGCCTAGGTGGATCTCAGGTCACTCTCAGACCCAGGGCACAGCCCGCAAACCCTGTGCCCCCCCTCCACCTGCCCTGGCCCTGCTTTCCAGGGTGGAGGAGCTGTGCTTGCTGGGTGGGAGCTGTGGAAGAGGGGGTGACCCCTTGGCCACGCAGCCGATGGTGTGGGGAACACAGCCCATGGCTCTCACCTGGGGTAGCGTTTGCATTTCCTTGCACTGGTTTGCAGGGGTTGCTCCTGGGCTGCAGACGCAGCAGGAAAGCCGAGAGCTCAGGGCAGGGAATAAGCACAGAAGACTAGGAGCACGCTGGCCCTTTGCACTGTACAGGCTGGGGAGATGGCACGCGGTGGAAAGGGGGTTTTCTGCCCTGCCCACCTGGCTTGGGCTCATTGCTTAGGCCCGTTTGGTTTGTTAGAGCTGCTCAGCCAAAACCCGTTTGCAAGGTAACAGCCCTGACAACAGCTGCTTCTTCCTCGCGCCCGCTGCAAGTGCAGTATGCATTTAGCATCTATGCACACGCGTGTCTATATGGAGCTCCTGTGACCCAGAGGAAAGCACCGCGGAGGCTGCATGGGCAGCTAGTGTCCTGCAGCGAAACCGTCTTTCGGCTGCGGGGCATTGCTCACAGAGAGCTCCGGCGGCAGCATCCCAGCTGTGCCCTCCTAAGCCCTGGTTCCCAGGCCCCTAATCGCTGTGGGTGCTCCTGCTGGGCTCGAAGTGGAGGCCCCCAATGCCAGCCAGGTTCTGGCCGTTACCGTGCTTTCAATCTGGAGCTCGTGCCATCACTTGTGCGACAAACCGGGCCGCGTCTCAGCCTTCACCATGGCGGTGAGAGCCAGAGATGCCTGCTTGCCCTCCCCACCTCTGGGGCAAAGCATGCTTCCCACGAGGGTAGCTCTGGCCCTAGCCTGGAGGAAGAGGAGACACTGCGAGCCATTGCCTGCCCTGGGGAAGAGAAACCGTCTCTGGATGAGATAAATGGGAGAGGCACTCAGCTAGGACAGGGAGGAAACGAGGGAGGACAGGGGGATGGATGGATAGACACATCACCCATGCCCAGCAATCGCTCGCGGCTCAGCTGCAGCAGCCGCCCTCGTTCCCTTCCCTTGGAGGGTGGCATGAAGTGCACCCCTTTCCTGCCCCAGTCTGCCCGCACCGAATTGCACGGGTGCAGAAGAGGATGGCCAAAATGAGCCTGCCTTGGCACGGCAGCACAAGCTCGCGGCCTCAGCCCCTGCTTGGGTGATGCAGCAGGACTGCAGCATTCCTCTGGACGTGCCGACCAGGAGCAGCACAAGCCTGTGAACCAACACACGGGGAAGCTCGTTCGAGGCTGTTTTGGGGACGAGTCCCGGCTGAGAGCCAGGAAGGTTTTCAGGCTTCCCGTGAAAGCCACCCACCAAGGTGTTTTGTTCTGTCCTGGCTGGTTCCAGCTGCTCGCCACCAACCCCTCTCCTCCGGCAGCCGTATTTTTGATTCCTCGCAGCCGCAGACATCCCTTGCTGGAGGCGCAGCGCTCTGCTGGCCACGAAGCCCCAAGCCGCACTGACCCCAGGTTTTGCTGGGATGCAGCAAGCACGAAGCGCCACGCTGCGACCGCCGGCAGCACTGCAAAGCCAGCCGGAGACAGCCGGGGAACCTCCCGGTGTGCTGGGCCCAGGGTTTAGTCAGACACCCAAGTGCATTGTGCCGAGAGCTGGGGCTCCCCATCCCGATCTGCAGGCCGATGCAGAAGCAGCCCCTCGGTGCATCCAGGTGCCGTGCTCAGGTTGCTGCCCAGGTGAAGAGGCAGCGGTCAGGGGAGCAGGGTTGCACCCTTCCCTCTATAGCATGCATGCTGGGCCCAGAAGCAGTGCAGCTGGGGCTGGGGCATGCCCGAGTGCTAGGTGGGCATGGGGCTGTGTTGCCGGGAGGGCTGCATGCTTGCACCCAGGTGAGCCCCCAGTTCGGCCGGGGTCTGAGCGGGCTCTCCCTCCGCAGCCTGAACCTGAGCAACAGCGACATCCTGACCATCTACGACGGGGACGAGCTGACGGCGCGCGTCCTGGGGCAGTACGTGGGCAGCAGTGGCCCCCAGAAACTCTACTCCTCCACCCCCGACCTGACCATCCAGTTCCACTCTGACCCCGCCGGCCTTGTCTTCGGCAAGGGGCAGGGCTTTGTCATGAACTACGTAGGTAGGTGGGCATGGGCGGCACCCACGGGGCCCCCACCGTTGCACGTTGCAAGTCGCAGCAAAGCCCATCCCATCCCGGGGCTGGATGCTGCTTGCTCCCTGCTCCCAGTGCCTACCAGGGTTGCATTGCAAGGGAGGCATTGCAGCAGATGCCTGGGAGAAGGGACAGGGACAGCAAAGGGCACAGGTCCTCAGGGGAGGCACGTGCTGGGCTCCAGCTGCCCCCTGCACGCTTGTTCCCATCTCTCGGCTCCATCCAAGCGGGCCAGGAGAAGCCGAGGAGGGTGTGGGGACCGGGTGCAGCTTGCTCAGCCCTTGGCACTGTCTTTCCCTCCGCCCCTCCCGGCCGTAGAGGTGTCGAGGAACGACTCGTGCTCCGACCTGCCGGAGATCCAGAACGGCTGGAAGACCACGTCGCACACGGAGCTGGTGCGAGGAGCCAAAATCACCTACCAGTGCGACCCAGGCTACGACATCGTGGGCAGCGACACGCTCACCTGCCAGTGGGATCTCAGCTGGAGCAGCGACCCCCCCTTCTGCGAGAAGAGTAAGGGTGCATACCCCCACCTCGGGGTTGCCTTCCCTCGGGGCACGCAGCCAGCCTGCACCGTGGCCTGGGGGGGTCTTTTGATGGCTGCAAGCCGCAGACCCCGGCTGGGTGCAATGCCGGGTGCATGCTCCACGGGACCTGCTGGCACCTGATTCCCAGTCTCCTCGACCTCCCGCTGCCCATGTCCCTGGGGCAGCCCCAGCCCTCTCTGCCCGCGTGACGGACCCCTTCTCTTCCAGTCATGTACTGCACAGACCCCGGGGAGGTGGAGCACTCGACCCGGCTCATCTCGGACCCCGTGCTGCTGGTGGGCACCACCATCCAGTACACGTGCGACCCGGGCTTCGTGCTGGAAGGCAGCTCCCTGCTGACCTGCTACAGCCGCGAGACGGGCACACCTATCTGGACGTCAAGGCTGCCCCACTGCGTGTGTAAGTCGGCTCCCGCGCGCCCTGGCGGGTCTTCTCCCGGCCTGCCCTCGTGTCCTGCTTGCTGCCAGTTTGCAGGGGGGCAAAGGTAGTATTTTGCAGCCTCCGCGGCAGCCCCGGCTCTAGAGCAAAGGCTGAAGGAGCAGCAACGCGGCTGCCCGCTGGAGAGGTGACCCCGTCCGTCAGTGCAAGGTGGGGGAATACGTCCAAAGTGGCTCATTTGCCTTTGCAAAAAAACCCCAAAGCGCTGGGCAGTGGCAGCTGTGACAGACCAAAGGGATGTGGGTTGTCACCATGTTGGTCTAAGGACATAGGCAGGCAAAGTCCTTTGGGCAGATGTGATACCTTGTATTAGACTAGCTAAATAGTTGGGAAAAAATGTTATTTGCAGGGTTTCAGGCACAAACACCCTTCGTCAGGCATCGGGAGACTTTTTCAAGGGAGGCAGCTGTGCTTCAAAAGCAAAGGGCTGCCAAGGGCTGGCTCTTCAATGTACTATGATCCTGGCTGAAAATAATGAAACCCTGAGGTTTACTCAAAACAAATCCAGCCTTTTTTGGAGGCTCTTTAGGGGGTTCCTCGTGTTTCTCTGCACCCCCCATTGCAAGGGAAGCCAGAAGCACGGGGTCCTGGCAGGAGTTGGGGCTTTTGGGGCAATAGCAAAGCTCAAGGGGGTGATGATGAGCCCCGGGGCTGGGCCCTGCCTCCCTTCTCAGTGGCTGGGGTGGGCGCTGCCTCTGCGACTTGGCCACTGCCCCAGGGGGGTGGCAGTCCTGGCACCAGAATGGATCCAGACGGGATCATAGCTATTCCCTCCCTGTGATTAAGGGGTGGAAGATCCTCCCCACTCTCCCTGCTAATAAGCAATCAGCTGGTGCCACCAAGGGGTAATTGCTCTGGGACGATAACCGGTGCCTTCGCCGCCCCCTCCTCCCTGGCACAGGCTGGGGGAGGCAGTCTGGTTGCTCTGGCCCCTGCGCGGTGCAGGCAGGATGCCCCACACGGTGTAGGGGAAAGGGCAGCTGGGACTGGGGACGGCAGGTAAAAGCAGCGATGCACCTGTTCCCCACCGCTCCTTACGCAGCGCTTAGAGGATGCATTGCCCTGGCTGTTTGGGCAGCCCCAGGCAGGGGTTGCAGCAGGTGAGCTGTGCAGGTCCCTTGCAGCCCTGCCGCTCTGTGATTTTGATCCTCCGATGCTCTGCTCTTCCTCGTGGGAATAAATCAGGAGCCTGCTGACGGCTGCATCGTGCCAGGGCATTCAGAGCACGCCCGTGATGGTGCATGAACAGACCGGCGCGCTGCAGCTCTGTGCGCCGGTACAAATTGGGTGGGGGGAACACATCCGGTAATGACCGTGGCTGCTAGACTCCCCGAGCACGGGGCGGACTCAGAGAAGGTGCATGGAGATGTGTTTCTCTTCCAGCTGAGGAGTCCCTGGCCTGTGACAACCCAGGCTTACCGGAAAACGGCTACCAAATCCTGTACAAGCGCCTGTACTTGCCAGGAGAGTCGCTGACCTTCATGTGCTACGAAGGCTTCGAGCTCATGGGAGAGGTGACCATCAAGTGCATCCTGGGCCAGCCGTCCCACTGGAGCGGGCCGCTCCCCATCTGCAAAGGTACCCGGCACTGGAGGTCCCGGGGCTCGCTGAGACGTGGCCCCGCAGAACCGTGGCTCAGCATCCGTGACCCCAACCGCCCCCACTCCCACCCAGACTGGGCCCAAGTCTATAATCTCTTTGAAACAAGGCAGGCAGAAGCCTCCCGTCCCACGTGCCGGCTCTCAGCCCGGAGGCCAAGGCTGCACGGCGGAGTTGTGATGCCGCGTGGGTTTTCCCTCTAATGGGCTCTCTCCCCCCAGGGGAGGGGAAGGAAGCGTCTTAACACCTCCGAGAGCTGTGCTGCAAGCTGCGAAGGGGATCGTGCAGCCCGGGCCTAGCAAGCAAGAGCAGTTTCAGCTTCCTGTGATTCCACCCCAAATCCTGAGCTCCCTTTGCCTTGGGCATTCGACACGTCTCCAACAGCCCTGGTGCGGGAGGGCTCGGGGGGCACCTGGCCAGGTCTGAGCTGGGGCTGCTCGGAGGATACGGGGAATCAAGGCAGCAAAAGTAGAAGTGAAATCTCTTCTCACATCACCCAGCATGAGCCGCAAGGTCCCTGGGGCCGGGGCAGGACAGGTGCACAGAGGGAAGCTGTGGACACGAGACAGGGCTGCTCTGTGATGGTGCACGTGGGCTCCTGGCACCGTTCTGGGGCTGTTTTGCAATGCACATTTAAACAACACACATCGTGCACAAACGCCTCACGAGACCAGCTGCTGCTGGAGGAGAGGCAGCAGGGTCGGGAGACGTCCCTGGGACCGTGCACAGGGCGCTGCATGGGGAGGGAAGGGGGTGCCGCGCTCCCTGGCCCGGGGTGCTGGCGTCCGGAGGATGGGGGGGGTTTCCCATGCCTCCAATCCAGCACGTATCAACCGCTCCCCCTTTCTCTTCCAGTGAATCGAGACACCTTCGAGCACGCACTGGAAGGTGAGTGAGATGCACACGCGGGGGGGTAGGTGGGGACGCCGCTTCTGCCCACGGGGGCTTCTTGTCGTGGAAACTTTCCAGCGCGAGGCTTCTCCGCGCTCCGGGGGCTGTTAGGGCTGTTAGGGCAGGCAGTCAGTCCCCTTTGCTGCGGGGCCCGGTAGGAAGCCCTGAGTCTGCAATCCCCGGCGGGGCCAAGTACCCCAAAGCAAGGCAACCCCTCGTCTCTTAGCCTCCCCAGGCAGGGCCCTGGGCCCCGCGGGGGCAGGTCTCTCCATCCGTTTGCACGCACGCTCGTGATACAGCAGCTGGGCTGGGGGGGTAGCAGTTAGAGGCCAAAGCAGCATCACTCTGGGGCAATGCCATGGGGACTGGGGAGGGGAGAAAAAGCAACTTCTTGGCAAATTTTGCATTTTTAGTAGCAGAAGCTGCGGCAGAGACGTCGCTCGAGGGCGGAAACATGGCACTGGCCATCTTCATCCCGGTGCTCATCATCTCCTTGCTGCTGGGAGGAGCGTACATCTATATCACCAGGTAGGCTGGGGGCACCGGCTGGACTGGGCAGTCAGGGGCTGCTTCTTGCATTTTGACTCCCTTTCCTCGAGCGCCGGGGTGGCTCAAGGCAGAGACTTCCCGCTCTCGTCTCTCCCCAGGTGTCGGTACTACTCCAGCTTGCGCCTGCCCCTCATGTACTCCCACCCGTACAGCCAGATCACCGTCGAGACCGAGTTCGACAACCCGATCTACGAGACAGGGGTGAGTCCGGGCCCGGCGCTAGCTCAGCTGCTAAGGGCTTGTTTCCCCTGGCTCGAAGGCCGGCGTGGCAGACCCCTGGCTTGCCCCAAATAAGATGCATCCCTGCTGTGTGTAGAAGTACTGGTCAGGGTGGAACCGGGTCCCGCGGTGCAACCCGCAAAGGCGTCGGGATTGTTTGAAAGCTTGTGAGGTTTTTGCTGCTCTCCTCATTGTCTGGAGCCTACGTCAGGGTCTGCGTGAAAAACGGGCACTAACTACCTTGGTTTAATTGACCTCTTGGAGTTAAATTGATGGGTGGCCTAGCAGGGATGCTCTGGAGTGGAAATCAAAGCATTGCACCGTGAAGCTGTGCAGTTTTAAGAACATAAGGATATTATTACTGTCATGCACGGAGTCGGATCCCAGGTCCATCTTGCCCCGTCTCCTGTGGAGGCTGGAAGAGAGAGAGACTGGGTCTGACCAGGGGTCTCGCCCCGTTCCTCTCTGCCTTGCAGCCTCCAGCATTTAAGGTCCGGGAAGTCGAGATGCAGAGGCCGTGCCCCTCGCTCCCGTGCTCAATAGCGACCGATGCCCCTTTCCTCCAAGCGTGTGTCCCATCCCTCGGCGAATGTGGCTGAACTCTCCACTTCCACCACCTCCAGTGGCCACGAGTTCCACGCTTTAATTCCCCCCGGGTGAAAAAGGATGTCCTCGTGTTAATGAAACCAGCACAGGGGTCTGGGACAGAAGTTTCATAAACTAGTTTGACCCAAATCGGCTAAGGCTGAACCAGGTTTATCTTAAACCAGTTTCAGGTGGTTTACATGCACGGAGCTTCTGTTCCATTACAGGTTAAACCAGTTTCTGATCACTTAAACCGGTTTATGCATCACTTCTGTCCCTAGCCAAGTCTCTCGTGTTGATGAGACCTGAAGGTCAGCAGGGTCTGGTCTCACCCCAGGCTGGACTCGGGCGGCCCAGCCCCTCCTTGAAACGCGTCTTCTTTTCCTTTTAGGAAACAAGAGAATATGAAGTGTCAATATAAGGACAGAAAGTCTCGAGACACGAACTTGACTGACGCTGATAGACCTTCCTCAGTAACTAATCCAGAGACTACGTGGAGTTTCATCGGACCCCTGGACCTACTGTTGTCTTTCCTTTTTGCCTCTTTATTGAAGGTTTTACTGTTTTCTTCACTGTATTTATTCTATTTAAATGGAGATAGGTGTGTTCACAGTGTTCCTGCCAGGTGCGGCTCCCCGCCCTGGGCTTAGCTCCACTCTGACAGCGGTGCAGAGGTCTCATGAGGTCGGGGAGGCGCAGGGAGCCAGCAATGCAGCCTCCACCTCTGCCCCGGGATTGTGTCGTGAAAAGGAGCCTGCGAGAAATTGCCGGGAGCCGTCTCAGCTCCCTCGCCTAAGCCACTGGTATGCCTGGCCGAGCGTCTCCATCCTGCCCGGTTCTCCGAGCACTCGGTCGGGGTCCGGGGTTGCACGCGCACACGTGCGTCGGAGCAGCGGTCAGCGAAGGTGGCGTCTGCTTTCCAACAAGCTGGTGCCCGTCTCAGGAAAGCCGCCGGCGAGGTCCAGAGGTCCTGCTCTCAGGTGCGTGGGGAGGATGGGGAGACAGCGACCGAAGCTACCCAGCGCTCCCGCTTGGTTTTTAGTCTTGGAGAGGCACGTAAGAGACCTTGTCAGTACTACAGAGAAGCATTAACTGGTGCAGCCAGCATCCCCCCGGCCCACGTCTCGGTGCCCTTGGCGGCACTGTCTGGGGAGATGGGTAGGATCTTCCAGGACAGTGTCCCTGCTATGCCGAGAGTGAAACAGCCTGCATGTCTCTGCTTCCCCCCTTATTTTTTCTGTGATAACGTGTATTGTGGCCATTGCGAGGAGAATCCGAGTCTCCCTCAAAGTCCAAGCTCGCCCTTTGCCCAGGTCTAGTATCTCAGGGTCGTAGTGCTGGAATATGGGATCCAACGAAATAACAGCCCCCATCTTCTGGACTAGCCGCTGCGGGAATAGTAGAAGGGGCCGCTGATGAGCACGGAAAGAGACCTTCCTCCAAAAGCAGATGAGGAGATAGGTGGGGGGCGCGTGTGCTTCGATCCCGGCTGCGTGGCAGCCCTGATGTGCCCCGTTCCTGCCTTACCCCCGCGGGGCAGGAAAACTGCCCAAGAAGCACCGTCTGGCCATGCACGACGGAGGGGAAGCCACCTCGAGATGCACACCATGTGCAAGCCTGGGGGAGGGCGCAGGGGGGGACCGCAAAGCGTGTCTGGGGAAGACGGCCAGCTAGCCGGCATCCCCGGAGCATGGCACGGGGGGAGCAAAGCAAAACGCAGCCCTCGTCCTGGTCTAACCCTGCGTGCCGCGCCGCATCCAGCATCCTTTGGTTCTGGAAGGTAACGTGTTCGCGTCGAACAGCAACCCAACAGCCGAGCCGCTGCCCTTGCACGGCAAACAGAGCCCCCCAGACGGTGCCATCCCAATCTCCCCCTTCGCCACGTCGGCTTCGGGACAGTGCCTCGCAGCGAGGCCTGGACGGGCCCCGAAGTGCGGGTGCTTCCCTGGCTGCTGGCGTCTTTCTTCCGTCTTTGTAGATTGGCAAGTGTAACCATGACCACATTTTCCAGCCCCTTTTAGTTTAGAGAAGGTTAGTGCATCTCTGCAGTTGTACAGTTGAGACATTTAGGCTTTTTTTTCCTTTAAAAAAAAAAAAGAAAAAAAAAAGAGAAAAAGAAACGAATGTGTATTTGTAATTTGTAAAGGTTTAAGACACAAGAGAAACAAACAAAACATGTGCCAAAAAAATGTACCAGGCATTTCATTTCCCTTCATCCCTGTCTGTTTTTATAAGAACAATGTGAAAATTGTTGGGATTAAATATTTTTGAACAATGATACGGTACTTCCGTGGGAAGCTCCGCTTAATACCAATGGTGCTCTGTTTTAAACCGGTTGGCGATCCAATCAGGTCCTGGAGATAGATGTGCACGCCTTGCATGCTAGCTGCCGTGGGATTAGCGGGTTACGGCAGCTCTGCACACCCGTGTACACACACGCGTGCACAAGTCAGACAATTACATACACACAAGCACGCACGCGCATTTCAGACAATTACATCCTCTGAATTTTGATGAGCTTGGTTCAATCCGGCTTCTGGACTGGACGCCGAGTGGTGCAAAAGATTTGCTCTTTATCCAGCATTTAAACCGTGGGGGTTCTCTTCCTCCAGGCAACTTATCATCGGCTGGATGGGAGCACGTGAGCTTTGTGGCTGGAGAGGGCTCACAGTCATGTGGGATCCTCCAAAGACAAGGGATAAGGACTGGCCTGTTGAGCTCTCCAGATCCTCCCAGCCCAGAAAGGGCATTCATTTGCTTTGCATTGCATTTACAGGGCGCTGAGATGGTACTCACTTTTTTGCCCCTCTTTGCTCTTGCACAGAAACATCCCCTGAGTGAGGGTCATCTGCCTTTTAGCTCCTTTTTTCATATCCCAGAGTTGCTGGGGGACACTTGCCCCCGCGCCGTGCTACACAAGTGCAGAGGAGAGAGGGCAGGTAACCCAGGAGCAGACACGGCTCCCTTCCCTGTGTCTGCAGCTAAGCGCGCAGCTAAGCAATGCAATGTGTTTTATTCTCCCTTTGAGCCCTGCTCCACCCAAAAAGTTAAAACCAAGTACCAGGCAGTATCTAGCGCTTGTCCAGGCACCGTTTTGGGAAGCACGTTTGGGATCTCAGCAAGATGCATCACGGTCAGCTCAGCAGCTCTCAAAGCCCCTGTGAGGCAGATCCCAGCATCAGCCATAACCATCCCCTGCTTTACAGACAGCCCAGAGGAGCTGGGACCAGCCCGGTGGGACCCGAACTCGAGCATCCTGTCTCCTGGCTCTCAGCTGGGATCATGTGAGGACAGTGCAATATGTGAGCGTGGCGATGCACCCCCGGCTGCTGACACCTCCTCAGGTGTGTAGCACCTGCGCGCCCAGGACGAGGACCTGGCAAGCGCCAACGATAAAGCAGTTGTGTGGCTCTGCCACATTAATGATGTGCAGAGGGGGAAAGGAAGTCTATGAAGAAGGTCTGCTCACAAGAGCCTGGTGCCTGTCCTGTAGCTCCTGCTACCCGCTGGCGATGAGCTGCTTTGTGCTTTCTTTGAGGTCTCCTTGCTTCCAGATTTGGGAAGTTCGGTAACAAATATCCAGCCCTTCCCCTTCGCACCCCACTGGAGTGTTGCAGGACCACAAGGCAATGTGTTGAGCAAAATAACAGGATGTCTTGGCTAGGACTTGATTAATATAGAACATAATGAATTAATATCATTAATGGCAGCTGTCATGGGTTTATGGAGAAAAGATCTTGTCTAGCTAATCTGGGATTGTATTTGTAAGGTTAGACGTTTGGTTGCTACTGATGTAATACACCTAGATGCCTGTATGCCCGGGACTCCGGGCTGCCCATCATCTGCCCATTAGCTAGAGCTGTTCCAACACATGGTGAATAGTTTGCAAACTGGCTGACAGGTCATGACATCTGACTGGCATCCATGGCATTGCCATGCAACAGGCGTGTTTCTAGTGGGGCCGTGCAGGGCTTGGGCCCAGCCTCTCTGCTACTGGACATTTTTATTACAGATGCACGAGGAAACACAGAAGCATCCCCAATAACGCCTGCAGGTAACAGAGACTGGGTCGGAGCAATTGCACTGGGTCGCTGATATAGGGTGATCCCCGTCTCCTGGTCAGAAAACCCCATGAGGTCTGGTCTATGCAGCTGGCAAGCCATGCATCCAGGGGCGAAGAGCGATGCAATGCCAAGGGGTGCGGGGGACAGACCTTTGGTGACCGGGGACCTCTATTCTTGCAAAGGGCAGCGCCTGAAATCCAAACAGGTAGAAATTCAGGTGCAGGAGCAGGAGCAGGGGGGTGGGCAGGTACCTAGGAGGGGGTTGTGGCCTGTGATATCCTCCCAGCCAGCACAGCAAGGCACAGCGGGGCGGAGGAGAGCGGGGAGGGCTGGTTGGGAGCCCAGCAGCAAGGGGACACGTCCCTGGCTTGGTGGGACTGAGGCAGCCAGACCCGGGAGGACACGTCGGCCCTGCTAGAAATGCACGCATGCCCCAGGACCCCCATCGCTGGGGGGAACCCGGTCATCGGTCTTAGACGTGGGCAGCGCCGTTCTCCCTGCAGACACCAGATGTCCTCAGCAGCTCAGATACAAGCTGCCAACGGGCCCAATCCCTTCCCAGCTCTGCAGTTGCTGGCAGCTCCCAGGGGCATGAGGGGCTTTCTCCCAGGCACCTGCCTGCAGCACTCCTGAGCTCCAGGGACTGCCCTAGCCCCTGAACCCTGTCCCAGCTCCTTGGCCTGGGGCGGGCCGGGGCACGGTGCTGCCCCAGCCTGGAGGTGCCCGGGGCCGAGCAGGGTGGGAGCCGCCGTGCACGGCGCCTGGAGCAGCGTGCCAGCGCCGCAGTGTTCCCCAGCACGCCCACGCGACGGCTTGGCAGGCAGCTCACGTCCCCGCCTGGCTCCGGCTCCCTGCTGCGGGCCAGGGGCTGTGACGCATGGAAAGCTATTGACACGGGTCAGGGCTGGGGCGACGGAGCCCAGCCGGCCAGGGGGGCCAGGAGGGGGTCAGCACGCACGCAAGGACTCGGCCTCTGCTGCCAGCGCTTGCACTGAATGCAGCTTCGGCAGCCACGCTTCGGCCACGGGGGCGTCTCGCTGGCCCTCGCCTCTGCAGCCCCGCCTCTGCCCTCGGGCCAGCACCCCACCTTTGGTTAGGAGCCCCTGCAATTTGGGGTGGCCAGGCGTGCAGGCTTGGGGCAGACAGGCGGGGCGGCTGCTGTGCAAGCTGGCTCATCTCCTACGTGGCACCACCACGCGCGGCCCTGCGTGCTGCGGGGCACTGGTGCGAGACACGCCGCACCGCAGGGACCCGACACTGGCAGGTTGTGCACTCGGGGCTAAGAGCCTGCTCCTCCCCAAATGCAAGGGGCTGCGAGCTCCGAGGGGCAAAGCCCGCGTGCCGCCCCGTGCCCTGCGGCCTGGCCGGAGGATGCGTCAGGCAGCGGGAAGGACCGTGCGGGAGCCAAGCCGGGCTGCACGCTAAATGTCAGCGTGTCTCTGGGGCACTAGCAGCCGCCCGTGTGGCAGGAGGCGGTGGCGTGCCGCCCCGCGTGTGCAATCATTGAATGCAGTGAGGGGTGTGCTGCAGCCGGGCATGGCCCCGGGTCTCTTCCAGCTGGCCCAGGCCTCGCAGGGCAGAGGATGGGGGAATGCAACACCCTCCAACCCTCGTTCAGCCCCAGACAGGCTGGAATCCGGGCTGGCCATGTGGTCACCGTGCCTAGAGGCCACGAGCTCTAACCACTGGGTGCCTCTCCCTGTCCTCCAAGCCCCCACTTTGCTCCCCAGATCAGGGAGCTTGCTCCGACTCTTGCAAAGCTGCCTCCAGCCTCTCCCACCCCCCAGGCTTGCATTGCACCCGGGAACACCAAAGGCCTGTGCAGGGGTGGGAGCAAAGGACCCTGCCCCTGGCGGGGTCGTGCTGCATCGAGACAGAGCCTCGGGGGTCTCAGCTGGACACGGCCGTGGGCAAATCACGGCTGCAGCCCGAAGCTCGGGGCACTTGGTGGCTTTGGGCAGGTGCTGCCCCTCACTTTTTTGGTACCAAACTGGCCCCATGCAGAGCCAGGCAGCACCGGTGGGTCCTGGCATGGGCACAGCTCGGCTCAGCCCCTGCCTCCGTACACTTTCATAATCAGGCGTTAGCTTATTCCTCCCCAGATGCACCTTCCAGGTGGGGAGCCTGGCTGTGTTTTAAACTGCTCTGGGTCCTTGGCTTATTTCTCCGCAGGACCCAAGCAGCGGCCGGAGAAGGTGCAGGAGCTGCAGCGCTCTGCTAGCTAGAAGCGCCGCGCCGCTGGGGAGTGGCGAGGGGCGACTAGTACCACGGACGCTTTATTCACAGCTGATGGATAAAATAAAAATGAAATCATCCTCATCCTTCTGCCTCTTCCTCCTCCCCCATCTGCACGGCTGTGCCCAAGGGGGGGGCAGAGACCCCGAGAACTGCAGCCCCTTGGCCCCCGTGTGTTGGGCACAGCCCCGTGGGGGGAACAGTCCCTCCTCTGCACCTACCCGAGCATGCACCAGGCTCCAAAGCGAGCCCCGGGCCCCAGATACAGGTAAGCAGCCTTGCCACATCCAGACCCACCCCCATGCCCCCAGCTCCTGCCCTCTCCCTGCTGCTTCAGCAGACCTGCTCACCCCTCCCTACGCACAGAAAGGGGAAACCCGAGCAACCTCACCTCCCTTTTACTCCTTCCCAGCTCTACCCCGCAGGGGCAGGACCTGCTCCTCAGCCCCGGGGAGCCCAAAGCACCATGCCTGGGAAGCCCAGAAGCTGCTAATTGAGCTCAGCTGCTAGCACTTGGGCTGGATGAGCCCTCGGGAGGGTGTGATGTGCTCTCACCTGTGGCTGCTCTGCAGGTCCAAGGTGTCTCTGGTCAGATTGAGGCCCTAAGAAGCACATCCCTTCCCCTGCCTCAAACTCCACCCAAGGTTTAACGAGCGACAGCTGCTAGCAGGCTGGGACCCAGAGGCAGGTGAGGGGTTTTGCATTGGGAAGGGGGTGGCTTTCATCTCTAACTACAGGCTTGCAAGGCAGGAGGTGGTGGCAGCATCCAACTATAGCCCCCAAGATGTGAGTTCGAGCTTTGCTCCAGGCCCTACTACAAATCTGTCAGCGGGGACCCAATCACCAGGGATGATGCTAGTCACATCCCTCATGCTGGGAGCTCCAGATGCAGCT